ACAAATATGCACTCACGAATGCACACAACCACACACACACATATTTAAGTGCACACACACACATATCTAAGTGCACACACACATAGACAAACGCACAGACACACACACACACAAACACACACACAGACAAACACAGACACACACACCCAGACAACCACACACACACACACCATACACACACACACACACATACAAACACACAGACACACACACAAACAAACACACACACCCAGACAAAACACATTCAAACACAAACACCCATCCAAACAAACACAAAAAAACACATACAACCAAAAACAAACAAACACACACACACCAATTAACCCCCCCTTCCCCAAGAGAACGATATACCGCATCGCACACAGCCCGTCCGAAGTATGACCAGCATATTCTCCCACGTCAGGTTATACTCACATGATAGAGACACACTGATCTAATTTCTAAAGACCAGCGGCTTGAACAGATAGGAATTAGGCTGTTATCAGATGTCTAATCCACAGCTGTTTCTTGGGTTTTCCTTCGTTATCTTGAAGGAAAAGGCTTGTTCTTGTCTCGTTTGATGTTCTTCTTTCGTTATCTCTTGCGTTGGAGTTTTGGTCTTGTTTCGTTTCGTTAATTTTCGTTATGGTTTGCGAAGAAAAAATGTCTTGTTTCATCGTCTCTCTTCGTTCTCTTCTACGGAAAAATTCTTATTCTCGTTTCGTCTCAAATTCTCCTTTCGTTATCTTGTTCTTATTTCGTTTATTTTTTTCTCTTTAGTTATACTTTTCGAAAAAGTTTTATTATCTCTTTTTGTTATTTTTCCTAGTATTTATGTATATTGTTATGCGTTATGTGTTCGTCATATCATATAGTATACTAATCATTATGATATTTATGAAAATACTGTAGAGAGAGAAAGAGAGAGGGAGAGGGAGAGAGAGAGAGAAGGAAAAAGAATGAGAATTAAATAAAGAAGAGGAAATATGGAAGAGGGTAGTAGGAAGGAAGAAGGGAAAGAGTAAGAAGGAAGACATGGAAAACGGAGTAAGAATATTAAAAGAGAGCGGACAAATTTCAGAGATCTAGAAAGGAGAAAGTTTTAAGGTCATGAACAAGAAGGAGAGAGAAGAGAGGAGAGGAGGGAGGGAGGGAGAGAGAGGAGAGGAGAGAGACGAGAGAGAGAGAGAGAGAGAGAGAGAGAGAGAGAGAGAGAGAGAGAGAGAGAGAGAAGAGGGAGAGAGAGAGAAGAGAGAGAGAGAGAGAGAGAGAGAGGAGAGAGAGAGAGGAGGTGTTGTGTGTGTGTGATTCACAAAGGAGTACATAGAAAAAAGAAGAGGAGACAAAAGAGAAAGAAAACCAAATAATAACCCCAAAATAAGAACCGTTTGCTCTCACTCCCTCACTCTCTCTCTCTTCCTCTCTTCTCCCTCTTCCCTTCCCTCTCCCTCCTCTCTCTCCCTCCTCCCTTTCTCTCCTCTCTCTCTCTCTCTCTCTCTCTCTCTCTCTCTCTCTCACTCTCCCTTCCTCTCTTTCTTCCTCTCTCCTCTCTCTCTCTCTCTTCCTCTCTCTCCTCTCTCTCTCTCTCTCTCTCTCTCTCTCTCTCTCTCTCTCTCTCTCTCTCTCTCTCTCTCTCTCTCTCTTCTCTCTCATCTCTCTCTCTCTTCTGAACTTCCTCGAGCGCCAACTGTTCCCTGCCTGCTGTTAAGGTTCACGGTGGCTGACTGACAACACTTGGTGCTCAAAATGCCTGGACTTTCTCCCATCAAGGTCATTGTGTTGTATTAAACCAAGTAACGGATGGGAGGAGAGAAGGGATGGGGTGAGGGTGGGGGAGGGGAGAGGGGGAAGTGGTATTCCTGTACGACTCTCCTTCCCTCCCCTTTCCCCTCACATTCCTCTTCTCCCCCCCCCCCAATTGGTCCTTTTCGCCTGCCTCCTCCCCCCTGTCTCCCTCTCCTCCCCTTCCTCCCCCGTGTCCCCCCTCTCCTCCCCTTCCTCCCCCTCCTACGGGATCCTTTTCACCTCCCCCTACCCCCCTTTTCCCCAGCATTCCCCCTCCGGCTCCCTTTCAAGGTTGTGGTGAGGTGACAGGGCGAGGGAGGAGGAAGAATGAAAGGAGGAGAAGGGGAAAGAGGAGGAAAGAGGGAGCTGGAAGAGAGGAGGAGAAATGTAGGGTAGTGACCATTTCATTTGTTTTTTCTTAGTTACTCCTTCGTTATGTAATTTCCCGTTTTTCTTATTCTCTTATTTATCTATTCATCACGAGTTATTTTACTGCCTTTATTCATTTTTCTTCTCAATCTCCCCTTTCCTCATTTTCAGTTTTGGAAATCATCCTATTCCCCCCACCCATTTCTCGATCCCCACTTCACCTTTTTCTCTTCTGTGTCCCTTTCCCTTGTCCTCTCCCTTACTCCTCCCCCCTCCCCCCCACTTACCCAACTGCAAAGCCCCCTCCCCTTCGCTTAGCTCCGCCCCCTTCCTTGACACCGGCGATGGTTTGTGCCGGACCCTCTCTCGTCAGTCAGTAGCTTAGTGTCTCGGTGAACACACGCGCACAAACTCACAGCTGGATACCGGTGAGTTAGGAGATAAACTGTGGTCGTAGTTTGTTTTTTGGACGACGTGAAACTTGTAAGGAATGGAGAGAGCGAGAGGGAGTGAGAGAAAGAGAGAGAGAGTGAGTGGAAGGAAGAAGGGAAGTATGTGAAAAATGGTCTTTATTTTTTCGAGAATGTGAAGGTATCATGGCTAGCTGGTTTTATTCTCATTTTATTTTCTAGTCCTGATTTGTGCCAAACTGAGTTATTATATTTCGAAAAAAAATCCACATTTTGCAGATAAACCCAAATAAGTCATTATAACATTCTCACAACTGAAAAATCCCAAATTCAGAGAGAACATTTAACAAGTAATATATAGAGCAGAAAAAAGAATAGAGAGAGACTAAACAAAGACCAAATACAACAAGATTTCGTACAAGAGTCCCACGTTGTTCAGTTTCAAAGTGTGACGTGACTTCAACGCGGCAGTATGAAGTCATCCAGTCATCCTCGGTTCTCGAGTCTTTCACATTCTCCGAAAGGTCAAAGGAACGGATAAACTTACTCTGCAAGATAGTGCCGTTAACAAAGTCTTATTTTAATACTTTTTTTTAGGTATTTTGTTCATATATTTTCCACTAAGAGTTTCTTAAAGAAGAAGAAAAATTGTTTCCTCACGGTAAATCCTAGATCCACAGATATTAATCATTAAAGATTATTTAAATACTTTATTATGTATTTTGTTCATATATTTTCCACTAAGAGTTTCTTAAAGAAGAAGAAAAATTTTTCCTCCTGTAATCCTAGATCCACAGATATTGATCCTTATCATTTTGATGATAGAAATTACTCCTTTTTAAGCTTAATAAACAGAAATAGAGACCCTCATAAGACCAATAATCCCGGACCCCATTTCGCTCAACCACACACGCCCCAAAATAGACCTAGGAGTGAGTTGCAAGCTTTCAACTGCAAGGTTCTTCTGGCCTACTTGCAAGATCGACGCGCCGTCTCCGCCTTCACTAAGAGAGATCACGAGAAATGCATTTACACAAAACCAACGTGACTAAGACACCTGCTAAATACAACAATATATGAATGAATAGATACAATAAATGGATAAATAAATTCGACATATATGATAATGGTGATAAATAATAGATAATAGATAAATAAATGTAATAAATAACTCAATAGATAATGATAATAGCAATAGTAATAATCATGATAGATATATAGATAAATTCAATAGGTAAATCAATAAATTCAACATAAATCTGCTTGCACATAACCCACTTGCAAGCCCGCCATGAAGTCTCCACATTCACCCGGAGGGTCATGAGAAATCTGCTTCAACATACTCATGGTGTATGCTGGGAATACTGCCAGCGGTGTTGAGGGGATGTTATTTTCCTCTTTTTTTTTTATGGGGGGGGGGGGGGGGATGGGGGGGGGGGCGAGAGGACAGAGTGATATGGGAGAATTTTGTGTTTCTATTGATCTAAAAAAAAAAAAAAAAAAAAAAAACGTATTTTCTTTAATAGTATGAAATTGCCGAAGCTAAACTCATCTACATCTACATTTTTATCAACAATAATAGAAAAAAGTCTTGAAGACTGTCACCGAGACGACTGTTGGGAGTCTTAGCTGGTCTTAGGAGCTAGTCTTAGAGCAGCTGGTAGGTTCCAGAGGGAGAAGAAAGTGGCCATTACTGGAAAGTCTTCAAGACCTGGACGTACCACTTGGCCGAGCTTCGCTAACCCCGTTATGTCGAACATCACTGTAACTTGCTTGGAGAAAGAGTAGAAATGGGATCTTGTTTTTATTTTTTTTATTTATTATTATTTTTTTGTTATATAGGACTGATTTTTCTTGCTTTATAACTCCTTAATATGCTGTAGTTATTCCTTCGTATTTGTAGTACAAAAGAAGTAAAAAAATATATATTTTCTTCATTTTTTCGCCTTCATCATGTTCACTTCATCCCGTGTGGAGGGAGGGATTGATGATTGCATGGATTTGAGAGTATTGAGGAATGGTAAGGGATATTTTGTATAAAAATCTATGATGAGTAGACATTGTAGAGCTGATATGATTTTGTAATGTTCAGATCTTAACGACTTTTTTTCCAAATGGTCAATTTAAAGATAGAAATTGTTCTTTTTTTTCCTGAATATGGGAGTTAGAGAGATGAGATGAGATGAGAGAGATATGAGTATATATATTTTCTTCTTTTTACCACAGATGTAATTTATTCATTTAGATTATGATCAGAATACTCTATTGTTTAAAGCGTGTGAAAATTAACAGTACTCCTTAAGTATACTGTATTTTAAAATTAAAAATGTAGTATAGAGAGGCGCAAATCGTTCTATCTGTAGGGAGTGACAGTATGGTTTTTAGCCGCAGAGCGCAGAAGGACAGAGAGTGATTCATGAGCATTGTTCACGATCATGCGCGAGGATAATAAAAAGGGATAAAGACCGATGATGAAAGCGTAAATTAAATTCCGAGGAGAGAGAGGAACCAAATTAAGATGAGAGAGAGACGAAATAATCAATAATCTTTCCGGAGTACCCGACTTGATGAGAGACCGAGAGTGACGGCACATGATCACCACCTCATCAACAGATGCAGAGAGAGAAAGAAAGAGAAAGAGCCCACATATTTATAACAACAGGGATCCCAGAAAAAATAGGAGACTAATCGCCACACCATCCATAGGTAATTTTTATCTTTGGTTCCTACAGTTTCACTCTTCTGCTACCTTGCATACTGCTCAGAAAGAGGCCAGAAGGCCAAAATTTAGGCGCGCGCTTGCTCCTGGGAACAATCGTAGCGGAAAACCCGTGGTTCAATGATTCACTTTAAGGGTCAATAGGAAACTATTAATTTTAGATCATTAGTGGTTGCAAGCCGCCTCGTGCTTTTATACACTCAAAGTCCGACCTCTTTCCGCCAGTCTAGGGCGATTTTGTGCTGAAGAGGCCCACACCTAACGCCATTTACATTAATGGTAAAATGAGAAAAAAAGGAGAGAGAGAGAGAAGAGGGGAGGGAGGAAAGCGTTAGGGGGAGAGAAAAAATTGGGGTGTGAAGAGAAAGGGATGGGGTGATGAAAGAATAATTTGAGAGGTAGGTCGCGCTGAGGGTGCAAGAAGAGAGAGAGAGAAGAGGGTGGGAGGGAGGGGGGGAGAGAAAAGAGAGGGGTAGAGAGGAGGAGGGGAGAGAAAAGAGAGGGGAGGGAGGATGGGATGAGGAGGAGAGAAGAGGGGAATGGAGGGTAGGGGGAGAGATAAAGATGAGGGGAGGGAGATAGATACAGATTTGAACTGATAGGGATAAATATGATGGTAGGACATAAGTGACTAAAGGTATAATAGATAGACATTATACTATACAGGTGCAGGGAGACATTACATCCCACTGTTACAAACATGTACTATACGCTGATCATACATACAAACATTACATACATACATCCCTATCACATACAACACACATTACACAGACAAACACACGACAACACGACATACCATCAACATACCACACACTACGCACACAGAACACACACACAAAACAAACCACCCACCCACCCACCCACCCACCCACACACTCACACCACACACCACACAACACACACAAACACCAACCCACCCACCCACCCACCCACTCCACCACACACCCCACACACACACACACACATACAAACCACACACACTCTAGCAATTCATTCTACTACTATATTTCTATCATTACCATTTACACACTACACTACATCACACACACACCTATCCCAATTACCTACCCTACCTCACTACACCCAATTCATCTTACTATCTAAATTCACGCAATTATACCCTCCTCCTTTCTTTCCTCCCCACTACACACACACAATCAGACTTACACTAGATCTCGATTGAGAAGCTTGTAGTGAAGGTTTAGTTTCGTCCCGGGGCTGAGCGGCAGGGACTGGCCAGCAGAGCGACTCCAGAAGCATTTCTGTTTGGCGAGAGAGGGAACTTCAGTCGGTGAAATCGAAGGCTCGAGAGACGAAGGGAGGAGGAGAGGAGAGGAGAGAGGGAGAGGGAGAGGCGAGAGGAGGGAGAGGGAGGGAGGGAGAGGAGAGAGAGAGAGATGCAGGGACCGGGAAGAGGGAGGGAGGGTAGGGAAGGAGGAGGGAGGGAGGAGAGTAGGGAGAAAGGTGGAGAGAGTATTCCAATGAAGAGGGAGTACGTGGAGATGAGAGAGGGATTCGATTGTCCGATTCGTAACGAGATGGATGGTACGTAGAGGAAAAGTACTGGCTGAGTGGAGGAGACGAGAGAGAGAGAGAGAGAGAGAGAGTCGGAGGAGGAGGAGAGCGGATTGTAGGCAGAGGGGAGGAGGGAAGAGGAGGGAGGAGGGAGGGAGAGGAGGGAGGTGAAGAGAGAGAGAAGATGAGAGAGAGAGAGATGAGAGAGGAGAGAGAGAGAGAGTAGAGAGAGAAGAGAGAGGTGAGAGAGACGACGCAATCATGTTTAGAGAGAGAGGGGGGGGGGGGCGGGTAGGATGAGAGCAGGGAGGTAGAGGGAGGAAAAAAGGACAGAGGAGATAGGGAGAGAGACAGAGAGAGTGTAGAGATGGTGGTGGTGTGACCGGGAGGGGGGAAAGGAGGAGAGAGAGGAAAGAGAGAGAGGTAGAGGAAAAGAGAGAGAGAGAGAGGGAACAAGAGAGAGAGAGAGAGAGGAGAGAGAGAGAGGGAGGGAGGGAGGGAGGGAGGGAGGGTAGGAGGGAGGAGGAGGGAGAGAGAGAGAGAGAGAGAGAGAGAGATGAGAGAGAAGAGAGAGAGAAGAGAGAGAGAGAGAGAAAGAAAAAGAAAAAGAAAAAGAAAAAGAGGACACTCATGCAAGATAATATAAAGATGAATAAATGAATAAATACAATGAACAATAAACCTCATCTTCATGCAAACGACGTAACGAAGAGCAAGAAACAACTACACCAAACGTAAATTTAAAAGAATAAAAAAAAAAAAAAAACAGGTCCTTTTTATCTCTCTGTACATCTCTCATATTTGACTTCAATAAGCATCGTTCTCGGTCGACTTCAGACCACCCAGTCTATCGAACTGAATTCCTCGCGACTCTGACATTTCCAGTTAACCAGTTTCACAAGTTGTGCGTCAAAGTCGATGATCTTTTGAAACTCTGACCCGAGACGATCGAATCCCCTTGGAAGTGGCTCGTGAATCGTCTCGAAGTCTCGTTTCATATGGTTCGAATCTTGATTTTTGGATAATTCGGCTTGTTTTTTTTACTGATACTGTTTTTTTTTATTTGTGTGATAAGGAGGAAAGAAAGGTAGAGAGAGAGAGAGAGAGAGAGAGAGAGAGAGAGAGAGAGAGAGAGAGAGAGAGAGAAGAGAGAGCGCGCGCGCGCGAGTAGCCCGAGGCGGGACTCGTTCTAACCCACCTTGACACACACACCCTCCGCCTCCTGTCTACCTAACGGGCCTCCTACATCCTCCCTTCCTTCCTGGGCAAAACTCACCCCTTTTAACCCTTCCTGTGGCCCTCTCCGAACCTCCTGCGGCCTCACCTCCGTGCTTTGGAAATTCCCTCGCCGGCAACTCGAAGCAAGGGTTGGCGGCGTCTGTCCCGGGAGGCGCTTTCTCCCGCGGAAAATGCGTGCGATTTTCTTTAATTTCTCTTCTTCCTTCTTTTCTCTGAGATTCTTGCTCTCTTTTTGCGTAATCTCTCTGATCTATATTTCTTTTTTTTTATGCACTGTTTCCGGTCGTGCTTTTCGTTCAAGGCTGTCTGTGCCTAAATCGTGCATTTTTTTTTCCATGAATTGAATTGAAAACTGAAAGTTAATCTTGCCTTTGATTTGGTGGGAATAAATAGGCATGTTATTCACACACACACACAATATATTGTATGTATATATATTGTGCGTGTGCGTGCGTGTGTGTGTGTAAATGCCATGCTTACACATCACCACCGAAGCAGATCAAATGCTAGATTGACTTTCAATTTTCTTTCGATATTTAATGGCCGACAGAGTGAAAGCTGATTTTCCCAAGAAAGTCTTCCCAGCCTTTCTCGCGCCGTGATTCGGATCAGATCTCTTTACTTGGTATTTAGTTTCTGCAAGTGATACTAATATACTTTTTCTTCTCTTCCAGATGAAGGTCTTATTAGCAACAGCCGCCTTATTGGCGGCTTGGACACACGGCCGTAAGTATTAAGAGTGTTTTTTTTCTGTTCTTTACAAATTAATGGAAATGTTATGGGTGACAAAAATTCTTCAGCAATGGAATCAGAGCCGGAAACTCTCGACTTGGACTGGGAAACAAAGGCAGAAAAAATAACGCATTGTAGGTATGATAAACGGACCAAAGTTCAGACTTACGCAAATCTTTGCTCCGTATTTTCATTGCGTTCCTGACAATACACTGAATTAGATGTAACAACGAATCGCCGATAATGATAATGCTAATAATATTGATCATAAAAACACCACTGATGATATGAAAGGACAGCGATAACGCCAACAAGTACCGATTCTATAGGCCTACACGCTTTACACAGCTTTATTATTACACCGGCATTCAAACAACTCATCGTCTTAACCCTTTCCCATCCCATTGGCCGCCATACACGCACACACGCAAAGTTACACGCATACCTAATGAAAGAGAAAGTCTTGGGAGTTCATTTCTAGGGAACTCTTCGTGTGTAAGGTGTGGTTAGAAGAGAAAATGGCGGGAAAGGGATTCGAACCCTTATGATTAAGGTGTTTGATCGTGTCGGTTGAATATAGCGATGCGTAATTGTTTACAGACAGGATGCTAGTTGTTACGTTTATAGTTTTTTATTCCGTCGAGACTAGGGAAAATCACAGTAATTATAATACAGCATAATCTATGATAATTAGGAACTGCTTACGGAAAATAAATACAACATAACAGCATCAGTAACGGATATGGCGAAAGGATTAACAAAACCAACGCAGCTAAAGATGTTTTTTGTTGAAGGAGACAAGAAAAGCTTCCCAAATAAGGGAGTGAATGGGCGAAAGTTACGCCGCCTTCAGTTAGGTTTTGGATGCCGTGGTGGGGGGGGGGGGGAGGTAGGCGTAATTTCAGCCATAGAGGATTCACACACTCTTACTTTCGGCGTGTCTTTGAGGTTTTATTTATTATCTAACTACATGTGTATTTATGGGTCTTTTAGAAGATTTGTTTCCAGAAAGATTTATAGATTTATTATCTTGCTTTCATGGTTGTCTGTTTTATTATTTTTGTCGGTTCGTATAAAAAATTATCTTACCTAGATTCAAACGACATACGTTATGTATGAATAATTCTCGTGAAATATTATTCTACTGTGAACTATCGTTTATCTATCTATCTATCTATCTATCTATCTATCTATCTATCTATCTATCTATCTATCTATCTATATATATATATATGTGTGTGTGTGTGTGTGTGTGTGTGTGTGTGTGTGTGTGTGTGTGTGTGTGTGCGTGTGTGTATGTATAGATATATGTATGTATCTATATATTTTTCCGTCTTTATTTTATTTCTTTCACTTTAATTCATATATTATTTTCATTTCCTTTACATGTGTATTTTCCGCATTTTCTTCGTAACTTTCTGAACACATATCCTGCTAATAGAACCTTTCATAATCTTCTTCCGCATATTTTCGCTCTCCCTCTTTCTGCTTCCTCATTTTAGCCATTCTTCTCATCCACACTTTCTCTCCCTCGTAAGGAAAGAGAAGCGAAAAAAGGGGGAAAGGACGTAAAAAAAAAAAAAAAAAAAAAAAACTTGTCTTCTGGATTCCACATTCCAAGCCACTCCCCTTCCCCTTCCCTCACCCTCCCCCTTCCCCTGCCCCGGCTCCTTACCTTACCCATACCCCTCTCCCCTTCACCTTCCCCTTCCCTTGATCCCATACCTTACTCCGTTCACATTCCTCTACCCATTCTCCGTTCACCTTCCCCTTCCCTTACCTCAAACCCAAACTTTAACCCTACCGCTTCCCCTTCCCTTCCCTCTCCCACTTCCCCCTTCCCCCTTCCCTTTTCCCCTACCTCAGACCCAAACTTTAACCCTACCGCTCCCCCTTCCCCTTCCCCCTTCCCCCTTCCTCTTCCCCTTCCCCTTCCCCCACCCCTACCCTAAACCCAAACTTTAACCCTACCGCTCCCCCTTCCCCTTCCCTTCCCACTTCCCCTTCCCCTTCCCCCTTTCCCCTACCCCATACTCAAACTTTAACCCTATCGCTTCCCCTTCACCCTTCCCCCTTCCCATTCACCCTTCCCCTTCCCCCTTCCCCCTACCCCAAACCCAAACTCGAACCCTCCCTTCCCTTAGCACTATCATTCTTCCTCTCCTCAATCCTCCCTCTACCTGTATCCCCATACAAGTCCCTGTAGCAGCAGACACGTAACTGTTCTTGTAAAATATTGTTCTTTTTTTTCTCGTGTTCACTTTCATCTCCAACCGAAAGATCCTTTCATATTGAACATGCTGAGTGACTCGTGTTTTCATTTTTGTTTTCTTGCTTTCGTTTTCTATTTTGTGTTTCGTTTTCTTTTCATTTTTTTTTCAAGGGGGGTCTTTTTTATTATTGACGTGTTTCGTTTTTTCTTGCTTTCGTTTTCTATTTTGTGTTTGTTTTTCTTTTTTTTTCAAGGGGGGTCTTTTTTATTATAGGCATTACCTTGTTTAGAGTTGTGTTGGGAGTGTAGTAAAGCCTGACTCGCTTTTTGATATATTTCTCTAAATCATTTTCATGTTTCTTTGATTATCTTCCTTTGATTTAGTAGTTTATAGCAACTATTTCTCTTCTTTTTTCTAGAATTTTGATTTATTTTGTAATTTAGTATTCCGCCCTTTAAAAAATCTCTGATTAAGAATTACTTTACACATTACTTAAGTCGTTTATATTTCACTATCGTCGCATGGTATTTGTCTTAATATGTTAGTTAATGTAAAAAATCTTGCAATATTTTCGTTCGCTTGCTGTTGAGAAGACAAAAGTTGCATGAGTTGCAAGTCGGATTAAAAATAACTCTACATTACTTAATTCGTTTATATTTCACTATCGTCGCATGGCATTTGTCTTAATATATTAATTAATGTATTTTTTTTTTTGCAATATATTCGTTCGCTTGCTGTTGAGAAGACAAAAGTTGCACGAGTTGCAAAGCTATTGTTACTTTCGCGTAACAAGTTCAGGAAAGCAATACGCACTTGCCGGTTGCCGAGACTGAAACCCTGGACCTGCAAATTCACGCTGCGCTCTCCCACTCTGCAATTGACCTTTGACCTCGGCTGGGAAGGAAGTCGTCGCCGTCGTCATGCAGTTGGCCCTGAGTTGAAGCTCGCTGTTAAAAAAAAAAAAAAAAAAAAAAAAAAGAATGGGGGGGGAGAGGAGGGGAGGGGGGAGGGGTTGAATTCGGCGGTAAATTTGAGGTCATTGTCTGCAAGATACGCACGGTGGGTTGCTGTGAGAGAAGGCGTGGGCGGTCTTATCGGCCAGCGCGCCCACACACGTGACATACCGCACATACGCTCGCAGAGGCAGATCCCAACATAGCTATCTATTTATCTGTCTATCGTCTACACACGGGCATGCGCATTTAAAATCACGTACACACATATATACAAATTCACACACACACACACACACACACACACACACACACACACACACACACACACACACACACACACACACACACACACACACACACACACACACACACACACACACACACACACACACACACACACACAAACACACACAAACACACACACACACACACACACACAAACACACACACACACACACACACACACACACAAACACACACACACACACCGATATATATATATTGTAATCCCATAAAAGTTCTAAAATGCAAGGAAATGAGAACATTGCGTCATCATAGAACCTGACCTCTCATTTCCCGCAAAACGCCACTGGCTCTAATGTTGGTATTTCCAAGACGCGAAATTTCCAGTTTGGGACGTTTTACATTGCTTTTCCTCACACGATTTCCATTTCCTGTGTTATCTATAGCTTCACGTTCGTCTTATTCCTGTTTTTCTATTACGTAACTTATCTTTATCATCGTCTTTCTTCTTTTTTTTTCATAGTAGTATTTCCTTTATTCCGTGAGGGTGGGGCTGGTCAGGCCAAAGATCCGAGACCGAGATCGTCTTGTTTCACACGGGAATGGTTGTTCTTTTAGCCACACCCACTATAGCAGTGTTTCTCTGTGTATCGTTCGTGTCTTTTTGTAATATTTCTCTAAAGTTAATTTTCGTGATATTTCTCCAAAGTTCATTCTCTGCTTTCCACGATGATATTTTTTGTTTCTATCTCGTGTTCATTACGTTTTTAAACTGATTTATTTTCAGTCTATATGTTTTTTTTTCGTCTCTCTTTCCTTTCTCTTTTAAACTGGAATTTGTTTACGGTATTGTTTATACCTTTCCTCATTTTGTTCTTTGTTCTTCACCATTTTTGAAATATCCTGTACTTCCCTCTTCCTTTCCTTTTTGCATTGTATATTCGACATTCTACACTTGAAAGCATCCGTTTTCTCTAATCTGCATAAGTCTCCCCTTTTACTTTTTCCGTTTTCTGTTGCAACTTGACCCCCCGATCGTACCCTGTCACACCCAAAACAGTTCAGTCACTTTGCTAACGTTTATTTATTTATTCATCTATCTGTCTATCTATCTATCTATACATCCATCTATCTATATATCTATCTATCTAGCCATCCATCTACCTATCCATCTCTTTACTTATATATTTTTTAGCTGTATGTCCTTTCTGTAATCGAATAAATTTATGTTTATTTATGATTTTTTTTTCTGGTATTTTTAGTTATTTGGTTTGTTGATCAAAAATATGCATCAATAGTGAATAAACGTTTTTTACAAATCAAGTAATTATGTCTTTTTCGTCATGGAAGTCCCAGGCTTAAATTTTCGACTAAAAACAAAACAAAAAACAATCCAATTTAAAAAAAATATACATTTCCGCCAACCCCCCGGCCCCCGCCCCCCTCGAGTCCAAAACCCCCACCCACCGCCCCCCTTCCTGACGCATACGCCCACGACAAGGTCATCGGAGTCCCTGGAGGCGTGGCTCTCCGGGACCTCGTATTTAAGGGACTCCAGGGTGGGCAGGACTCACGCCCCTGG